ATTCGTGAGCAAAGATAAATGAGAAAAATAAACTACCACAAAAGTTTTGCTACACCCGGTATTTTTTATGAAATGCTTATTCATCGTCACATGTGAACTTCACTCTTTAGTTTCATTTTCTTTCTTTTCTTTTGTAAATTTAACCTCGCAGTTATATTCAAGAAAAGTAAAGGTGACAGATAACTAAATTCAATAGAATTTTTGTTGTGTATTCTTTATTTTTGTTTCTTTATGTATATCAAATGTTTAAAATGTTTGACAATTCGATGATTAAATATTTATGTAAAATTCATTTGAATTTTTCTTTCTGAGATGATTGTTTTAGTGAGAATCCTTATTTCAATTAGCTATGATTTATTTTATTCTCGTTATATATAATGTTTTTTTTTTGTTGACTGAAAAAAGACCACACAGTTTTGTCTTTTCTTTTTGTAGATAAAATGTATTCAGCTATTATTCGTCAAGTCAGACACAAACCATTGTTCTCGAATACTTTGCGCACTTGTCTTACATCTGTATAAAAGATTTATTTATATACAATAATAAATGAATTTTCTTTTATATATATATATATATAGAAAATGGAATCTTCTTCGAAGAGTTATGCCGGTAGTACTTCAGACAAATCATCGGAAGGTAATGAAGTAGTGGGTGCTCAGATTATTGCCGAAGCATTAAAGAAACAGGTGAGAAAAAATTAATCATGTTACTAGGAGGGACAAGGTTATAGGTATCAGAGATAGGATCAATTCGTATTTCTTTGAAACAGAACCGATTGTAGTCAAAACTGTAATAGGCACAAGAACTTCGCTCTTGCTTCGACAATTTTGACATTGCTGTGAGTCTACATTCGAAAACTGTTAGAAAAATACATACTAAAAATTGAATCTCTACTTTCAAAATACTAATTCTTTTTATGACTAAAGCATTAGAAAAAGGTACACTTGTTCATCGTAACTACTTGCGAATGTTGGAATATTTTTAGGGTATTGAATACATCTTTGGTGTAGTTGGTATTCCAATAATTGAAGTTGCATTTGCTGCTCAACAATCACAAATTAAATATATTGGAATGCATAATGAACAAGCTGTATTTAATAAAATAACAAAAAAAAATTCTTGTCTACTATGCGTTCTATTGTAGGCATCCTACGCCGCATCAGCTATTGGCTATATGACAGGAAAGTATGTGACATTATGATAGATATATATTTGAGAGAGTATCGTTATTTGTTTGATAGACCAGCAGTTTGTTTAACAGTGTCAGGACCTGGTCTTGTTCATGCTCTTGGTGGTATGGCTAATGCTCAAGTTAATAAATGGTAAATATAAGATTTATAATTAATTAAATAAACGTATAGATATAGGCCAATGGTAGTCTTAGCTGGTTCATCTGATCAACCACAAGAATCTATGGGTGCATTTCAAGAATTTCCACAAGTATACAATTATATTTGTGTCATTGATAGAAAATAGAATTTGACTCTTTTTTTTTACAGGTTGAAGCAGCACGACTCTTTTCAAAATATGCTGCTCGTATTTCATCACTTGATCGAGTTCCATTCTTTGTGGAAAAAGTAAAATCTATATTAAAGTTTAAAATTTAATAAGAAAAAAAGAATCAAATATCTATTATATAGGCTGTTCGTTCTTCTATTTATTCACCTTCGGGTGTAAGTTATCTTGATATTCCAGGTGAACTTGTTACTTCATCTATAAATTCAAGTCAAATAGAGTAAAATATATTTGATTAAACTTATATATAATGAATATCTTCTTTCAAAGACAAGTATCAAAATATCAAGCACCTCCAAAACCTGCTGCTAGTCGTGAATCACTTGGTGAATTTTTCAATTTACTTAAACAAAGTAAAAAACCACTTGTAATCGTTGGCAAAGGTAATTATTCGTATGCAGACATATGTCTTTCACAAATAATTCGAATCATTAGGTTGTTCGTATGGATTTGCTGAAGAAGAAGTAAAAAAATTTATTGAACAATACAATTTACCATTTCTTGCAACACCTATGGGTAAAGGAACATTGGACGATCGTCATCCATTATCTGTTGGTGCAGCGCGTTCAACTGCATTAAAAGATGCTGATTGTATTATTTTACTTGGAGCACGTCTTAATTGGATGCTTCATTTTGGTAGACCACCTCGTTTTGATCCAAATGTTAAAATAATTCAAGTAAAACTTGATTGTAGTTTTGTTTTCATTTTTTGATAAAGTAATCTTTGTTTTTCGATATATTCAGATTGATACAGATACAAATGAATTACACAATAATATTCAAAGTGCATTAGCAATTCAAGCTGATCTTAAAACAGTATTAAAACAAGTAAATGATATTGTTTATCTATTTGTTAAATGAATAAAAATAAGAGAGATTTTTATTTTTTCTAGTTGAACGAAAATGAAACAAAATGGAAATATGATGCAGCAACACAATGGTGGAATTTACTTAGAAAAAAATTGGCTACAAATAAACAACGAAGTGATGTAAGACGATAAAAAAAAACGAGACAATGAATTGATAATTTTTTATGAAAAAAGAAAAGAGATGAACAATTATCTATACATTTTAGAATAGGTTTTTTTCGAATGAAAAGTTAATTATTTTAAATATTCATAGTTTCTATGCATAGTGCATATTATATATATATACATATTGTGTCTGATTTGCTCTTTTTTTTTTAGGCTCTTATGAATTCAAAAGATAGTTCTATGCTTAATTATTATTCAGCATTGGATGCAGTATGTTTGAATTAAATCCTTAGTTTTCTTTTCGTTGAATTTATTTTTTGTTTTTTTAGATTCAATCAATTATTCCAAAAGATGCAATCATAGTAAGTGAAGGTGCTAATACAATGGATATTGGACGAACGATATTATTGAACTCTAAAGCTCGTCATCGACTTGATGCTGGAACATTTGGTATGGACTTTTATTTTGTTTGATTTTAAGAAAAAAGATCAAATATTTGAAAATTTTTAATTATTGACAAACTATTTAGGTACAATGGGTGTTGGTCCAGGTTTTGCAATAGCAGCAGCTATTTATTGTCAAGATTATGAACCTGAAAAACGTGTAGTTTGTGTTGAAGGTGATAGTGGTTTTGGTTTTAGTGGTCTTGAATTTGAAACGGCTGCTCGGTAAGATTAGTCATCATTCATATATCTATCAATTTATTTCTTTTTATTTTCATTTCAGTTATAATCTTCCAATTATATTTATCATAATTAATAATGGTGGTATTTATGCTGGTATCGATACAGATTCATTTCAAGAAATGGCTAAAAAAGATGCTACCCTAAAGTATAACTTGACTCTTTAATTGATAATCAACCTATGTGTAAAAAAAAGACTTTACACAATTTGTCTGGTCAATTAAGTCACTTATGAGAATTCAAAGCAATTAGTCAGAATAAGGATTTAATGCTCTTTCTAACTACATATTCAGAATTCTGTTTCTGGCTTAAAGTTAGTTCACTGAGAATAAATCTTTGATGACCGCTAAAAACGACTTTTCTACACAATGTAAAATTAAAAGACATTTGTAAATATGTTTTCTCATTTTATGAACACCTAGATATCATTGAAGATGATTAAATTAGAACCAGCATTTGATTATCTTTCTAAATTATTGTTCAGAGTTTTTTTTTCTGATTTATGGTAGGTGAGCTATGAACAACCATTTAAATAAATCAAAAATGTTAAAATAGGCTTTTTTTTGTCATTCATAACTTCGCCGGGGAGGATATTTTAGCATAATTTTAACTTTTTGATGTTGTAGAGATTATAATTTTCTACTAAGTTATGGATTACAGTAAACTAGAAATCAAAATAATCAAAACTTATAAACATTTGCCGACTAATTATTGAATACAATAGATTTTGATCGTGTCTATCAATTTCTAAAAAGAAAAGCAAAGCGTTTCTTTTCTAGAGTAAGTCTCGTTCTTCAAATTGATGAATCACAAAAATTTTTTATAATTTGAATTGAGGCTCTTTTAATCAAAATATAAAATTGAACTACATGAAAAATTCTTTAAAGACGTGGCCGTTTGATCTTCGGCAAAAGTTGGTTCTCAATCAACTAATTATAAGCTAGAAAAGGAAATTCTAAATATATATAATTTGAAACAGCATGAAATTCTAATTCTAGCTGGTGGCATTTGATTCTCTTGAATGAGTTATAACTGATGGAAAATTGACCAGACATGTCGTACAAAGATGTTTGACACATAGATTATTTTTATATTCTTTTCATTAAAAAAAAAATTAGTTTACCACCAACATCATTAATGCAAGCAAATTATGAACGGATAGCAGGAGCTTTTGGTTGCCAAGGTTATTTAGCACGTTCAGTAGAAGAAGTAAAAAAAAGTGTGCAATCCGCATTAGCTGAAACAACTCGTCCATCAATTATTAATGTTTTCATTGATCCATCATCTGGACGTGTTCAACAAGCATGTTGATTAGTTTTTTAACCATACAAATTATAATCTCTATTTTATTATAGGAGCATGCCTGGCTTACTCGTTCAAAAATGTGAGATTGATTAGATTCAATAAGACTTAAAATTTCTTTTAATTAATCTTTTTTCTTTTTTAAATAAAAAGATAACCTGATTGAAAAATGCTAATACTTTTTTGTGTCTTGTATCTGTCATTCAAAACGTCGTCTTGACGAAAGAAGAATAAGTGCAAATCTCAGACACTCGATGACAGTAGATGCAGAGAGAAAAAAAGAAAGAAATAATTATAAAGAAGCGTCATCGTTGTCTTCGTTTATTTTCATTTTTACTGACATTTAATCCAAGTGAGAAAAAGCATTCAAGTGATAATGATGAACGTTGAAGAGCAAAAAGGAGATTCATCAAATAGAAGATTCAAGGTTTTATTATCATCTTTTTTATTTTTATTTCGTCAATTTCGTTTATTTTTCTAATAGAACTTTCGAAAGCGTTTTTTTCAACCATTTATTAGTCGTTTTATGATTAATAAAAAAGATGAACAACAAACAAGTCTTTTACACGAACCCAATCAACAAATGGAAGCACCTATTCGAAATGAAGACTTTCAAGTGTAGGTCAAAGTTTTATTGAAAGGAAAGTTTTATCAATAAAAAACAGTTACTTGTTTTCAGTACTGGTTTTGTGATTGATCAACAAAACTATTTATATCATTATTGGCTTGCAATTATTTCATTTGCTGTTGCCTATAATCTTTTATTAATACCAGCTCGATATGCATTTAATCAATTGAATAAAAATTTAAGAATTTTTTGGATATCATTAGATTATACTTTTGATATAATCTATTTAATTGATATTTTTCTACAATCGAGAACAGGTTAAAAAAAAACAAAAAAAAGAAAATATTAAATAGACAAGAGAAATTATTCTTTTTAGGTTATTTTAGTCATGGTCTTTTTGTACATAATCATTATGTTTTATCTCGTAATTATTTTACATCACGTCAATTTTATTTACGTGATCTTTTATCTATTATTCCAACAGATTTTTTATATTTAATTCCAAATTATCGTTTTATTTCTATAATACGTTGTAATCGATTTTTACGTATTCATCGTCTTTTTGAATTTCAAGAATTAACAGAATCACGTACTAGATTTCCTAATGCATTTAGAATTTTCTGTCTTATATGTTTGACTCTTACACTTATTCATTGGTAAAAAAATATAGCTTTGTTTTCTTTTCTGATATAAATACAATAGAAGAATACTTGAATTTCACTTTAGGAATAGTTGCGCTTATCTTCTTATTTGTCAACATCTGGGTTTTGGCACTGATAGATGGGTATTACCAGCTGCGGCTAAAAATGAATCAGTTGCAATGCTTTATACATATTGTTTTTATTGGTCAACACTTTTATTAAGTACTATCGGTGATGTTCCATTACCTGTAAAAAGAGCCGAATATCTATTTGTATTGTTTGATTTTATGATTGGTATGTTATCAACAAAAGAAAAAGATATTTAGAGTTCAATAATTGTTATCAAAAATAGTAATTAGACTATAAGAAATTCTCTTCATTTATAAACTACTATTTTTATCGGAATGACTTTACATTGTTAAAATTATTTCAAAATATGATATTAAAAACCTAATATGAGATAACATTTTCTAGTCATGGTTTTAATCTATTTTTCATGAAATTATTCTGAGATGTCTATTGAAAATTATTTCAAATTTTCATTGCTTGACTTATTCAATTAGCGAATACTTTTTTTTTGTCTTGGGCGTTTGTTTTCACAGAAAACAAAAATATTATATTGAGCTATAATCTTTAGTAGTAGCTTTGATAAATTTTCAATTTTTAAATTCGTAAGTTCATCAGTTATCCTTAAGAATTGATAACTTTCTAAAGAAATAATCATTTGAGAAAATCCTAATATAAGATATACTCAATTTAATTCGAACCTTGGTGGTTTTATTTTGATAGGTATACTAATATTTGCGACTATTATTGGTAGTCTTGGTACTATGATATCATCACAAAATCAATCAAGTATAAAAAGGAAATATTTAAGAAAAAGAATTCTTTTTTCTTACATTTTCTTTCTAGGACAACAAGTTCGTGAAAAAATGGATGAAATAAAACGGTATATGAAATTTCGTTCCGTTAATCGAAAACTTGAACAAAAAGTTATAAAATGGCTCGATTATTTATATACAAATCGACAAGTATTAAATGAAGAAATGGTTTTAAACTCAGATTTAAGTGTTGAATTACGTAAAGATCTTGCTATTAAAGTACATTTAGAATCCTTACAACACGTTACATTATTTCGTGATTGTGAACCTAATTTACTTATTGAACTTGTAAAATTAAACTGTTCTAATAGTATAACATTTTTATCTTTTTTATTTTATTTGAAAGGTCACAAAGTTAAAACCAATTTTTTTTGGTCCAGGAGATTATGTTTGTCGAAAAGGTGATATTGGAAAAGAAATGTATATTATTAAACGTGGTCAATTAGGTGTTGTAAGTGATGATGGAAAGACAACATTTGTTGTACTTAAAGAAGGTTCTGTTTTTGGTGAAATATCTATTTTAAATATTCCTGGTATTTTCTTTATCATTTTCTTTTGCCTTTCTTTTTGTTCAAAATATCTATTAAGATTTAATTATTAGGTTCAAAAAATGGAAATCGTCGTACTGCAAATGTTAAATCTTTAGGTTATTCTGATTTATATACATTAACAAAAGAAGATCTATGGCTTGAACTTGATAATTATCCTGAATCTTTATCAAAAATAATTGAAAAAGGTAAATCAATATTACGTAAAGATAATCTTCTTGATGAATCATTAACTGATTCAAAACGATATGTTGAACAAGAACAATTATTAAGTATACAAGATCGTATTAAAAAATTAGTTGATATAGAAAAAACATTGAATAATCGTATAACAACATTTTTTGATGGATATGTTGAATCAATACGACAATTGAAACAACAATTATCAAAAATGGAATATCAATTTGGAGTAAGAAAACAAAGTATAAGTTTATCAATGAATGTACCAATGTCAGCACCAGCAGTTCCATTTTTTTTAAATCAATGGAAATCAAATACTTCAGTTAATTTACTTAAATTTAGAAGTATACCATCTATGGAATTTGATGATTAAGAAAATTATATGGAGTTTTTATGACTTTTCCCTTGAATATTGTCTTGTAAAAATTTCTCTTTTTCGTTAAAATAAAACACCATAATAATAAATAAACTGATGTTCCAATCGAAAATTTAATCATTGGCTATCGAAAAGATTCGTTTGGTCGTAATATTGTGATTCATCATTAGTGTAGAATGAACAAAAAGAGACAAAGAATAGATAGTGTATATGTACAAAGACTTGTTAATATGATGACCTTTTATGTTTAAATAAGAAGATGTATAAATATCTTTTTTATAGAATTCAATTCGTATTTTAATCCTTTTTAGATATTCATCAAATCGTTTTAATCAATATCTACGAAAAAAGTTGTTTTATCATCTTTCATAATGCTTCTTAGTGACGTTGACAAACTAACTTATCGAGAATTACAAACTGAATTAAAATCTCGAAATTTAAAAGCAGTAGGAAAAACTGAAATACTTCGTGAACGTCTTCGACAAGTATTAATAAACAACAATGAAGATGAACCAATGTCAGATTATCTTGATGAATGTTCGATTTGTTTGGATAAATTATCATTTGATAGAAGAACAACAATAATAACAACATGTTTACATCGATATCATCGTATATGTCTTAAAAAATGGATTGAATCAAATGGTGAATTTTCACTTTGTTGTCCCCTTTGTCGATGTTCATTAGCTGATGATCGACATATTAAACAAGACGGAGATAAAAAATTCATCGTGTAACAAATAAAATAATAATAGATCTTTTTTCGGTTTCTTAATATTCTTCATATGTTGATCTCTAAATCTTTGTTTCTTTGTTTTCTTTTCTACCGATGTTCAACTTTTTTTGTCTTCGCTATTCCTTGTTATTAAAAATAATAGATAATATATAAATGTATTTTTTTTTGGATTAATCATAAAGCTACATATGAAAGTATACACAATGTGATCGATATGGTTTTTTTTCTTTGCTGTAATATTAGGATAATTTTGTAAGGAAAATCAAATAAAATTAAAAAGACACATTTGTCAATATTTTGCATGATCATCTGTTTTTTATTTTGATAGATAATTGAGAAAAGTTTTCATGTGGATAAAAACAAAGGAAGCGATTGCTGTACTTTTTCATACGCCATCTGTAATTTCGTATTTTTCATTCGTCAATGATACTACTCAATATAAAATGATGAGTAGAACGAAAAAATAAACAAAATTATTTAAGTAAAAAGAAAAACCTATAAATAGTAAATGATGTATTCATTAAATATTCTAAAGTTGTTTCTTAAAGTTTATTCTTATTTTTCTTCTTAGGATACGTTAGTCGGAAATATCAGCATATCTTATGAATCAGCATTCAGTCATGGGCACTTTTTTGTGCGTCGGTGAGTCTTATCATAGAAAATGATGTTTATTTCTCGAAATAGTTTTGACTAAGATTTTCTTTTAGTATCATCTGACAACATGTGACCAAATCAAGATTTAGGAATCTGCCATAATTAACAAGGCTCAATCGTTTGTCACATTTTACTGAACATCAGCATTTATTTTCTTTGTATGTTTATTCGTTTGAAAGTCTTTTTTGATTTTAACGCTTGGAACCCCAATGATTAAGGAAACGTTGGCATTGCTTTTTTTTTCTTGAACCATCCATTATTCATTTATACTGAATTAGCTTTTCGTATGAAGAATGAATACTATCAAGTATTCTTTTAGATATTTTTTTTGGTTCTCTTTCATTCGTATCAAAAAACAAAAAAAAGTTTTATAAAAACAAAAACATAATGCTTAAATCACAATCAACATCAGTAACAAATCCAAGAGCAGATGGTGAACTTTGTCGAAATGCTTGTGGTTTCTATGGAAATAAAATATGGGATGGATTTTGTAGTAAATGTTATCGTGAAGTATATCAACAAGCAAGACAAATTCAAGAAGTGTATGATGGAAAATTAAGGTAAAAACAAAGTGTTCAACGAGATATTTGTTCTTTAAATTTATACTAATGAATTATGTTTTAGCGGCTTTATATTGTAAAAATTAAAATGCTTATCATACCATCATAAATCATTCTTTTATGTGACATAAGATAAATATCTGTCTCTGTTTTCTAGTAGAATTTCTATGAAAGTTAACATATTAAATAAGGTATTGTGTTTTTTATTAATATCAGAAAACATTTGTTTTTCTTCTATCAGTTTAACTTTACCTCCGTTGGGCTACTTGGAATAACCATTTGTAGAACGATTGCAGAAAATAAAATAAGTATTGAATTTGCAAAGAACAAGAACACTTTTTGTAGTGAACTTCATGGACTATTACCTGAAAAAAAGAATTTTTTTTCCCCGCTCGATACTTGAAATATCTAATCTACAAAATCAATAATTTTGAAAAACATGAAAAAAATTCGAATTTTCCGAAACAAATTGTTCTCTACACCTACAGCTAATAGAAATCTTTCAGAGTTCACTAATAAGTTAGATATGTTTTCAAAGTTTCATAATAATTCAATGAATTACACATACTAAGATATATAATTGGTCATAGAATCACCATTGGACAGTGAGAAGGAAATCACGAACATAATTAATATGTTTATTATAAATCTAAACTTATGACAAGTTCAAATAGTATTTATTATGAATAAAATGACTTCAAAGGTTATAAAATGATTCAAATCAAAGTAGATGATTTTTTAACAAGATTTGTCAAAAACATATAAGTTCTTTTCACATTGATTTTCATCAATTTACTCCTTCCTTTTTTCCATGATTCCAACAACATTGGAGAAATGTTGCTTTTACGCATTCTATAATATGATCAACGAAACAAGAATCAAGGCTTAGTATATCGTTCAATATCCTTACTCCATCATATGATCACTGGACCAAATAAACGATCCTACACAAAGAGATGGATATCCGACGGATCAGACCATATAATTGGCATATTAGGCAGGCTAATCCTATATTTATAAAGTTACCGTATCAGTGATTCTTCTAGAACCGTTGTTGAGAAAGGGGGATAAAGGATTAACAATCAGAAATTATACAACATAGATGGAAAAATTTCTCATAAATTTTAAATCTTGTGTAAGTCTTATTTAGATATTGACGAACTTTCAAAATAATAACAATATGTATATACAGTATCGGACAAAAGCCTCCACCCACACAGATATTAGCTAGCATAGACACCGGAGGTCTGAAAATTTGTGTTCATATAATCCACCCAGAATGTAGGTCAGAGCTATGAGCTTCTTCTGATTGCTAAGATACTGCGAGAACTATGACGGATGGTAATGAATGGCACTTATTTTTTTCTTTGAACTTCATATTTCGGAAAAGAAAAGGTATTACGGGTCACTTGATTCCTCATTATTCACGGCTTTACTCTAGCTACCGACGCTATTAATTTCATCGAAATCCATAAATGCTTACCAGAACTACGGGCACTTTACTGTGACTATTCGAAATTCGAAAAACTCCCTTTTGTAGTTTGTACCGCATAACTGAATAATTCTAAAATAAATCGAGCTCAAACTTTGAAATAAGCTTCACTGGTAGCTGAACATTATTGCCTGCAAGTCTCACGAAAGAAGCATCTTCCAAAGAGAAATAGTGTACCATGTATTGTCATGTTGATGCCAAGGACTCAGAGATGTCTAAAGACAGTAATCTTGCACTGAATAGCATGGTTTTTTGAGTGAAAAAAGATCTTACACTGTGCTTCGGTTATATAGTAAAATATCAAGAATTAATGATGTATTTGATAAAAAAAAGCAACGCAAAATTTAGTAAGCAGCTTTTTTCTGTCAAAACCCTTGCAGTAAAAAAGGCACTGCTCATTGTAATTATTGCTTTATTTAAGCAATCAGGTTGAGTATATGGCTCTGATCTCCATTCTTGGTAGATTATATGTACACAAATTTTCAGACCTCCAGTACCTGTGATAACTGAGATCTGGGTGGATAGAGACTTTTGTCCGCTACTGTATATCATTAAGATTAAAATATTTGAAATAGAAACTATATTTTTGTACGTGTTTAAACAAATTTGTTCTAGTCTTTATGTATAACGGTTAAACATTTGACGACTCAGAAGAAGATTCATCATTTTAGTATTTGAATAGAAAATTTTTTCTTAATAAATATGTCATATAAGACTGAAATTGGCCATTATTATTTTAGTAATTCAACTTCAGATGGCACGCCACCATCATCTGTTCAATCATCTCCATCATTTTCAAGTTTTCAAGAAAAACGTCGTACTAATATGAATATGCGTAATCCTATTCGACAAATGGTTAATCGAGCTGGTAGTCTTCGATGTATATTATACACGAACTAACTTTTTCTTCTTTAAAAATGGATTTTATTATTTTTTTTCTAGCAACAAGCAATTCAGTAATATCATCGTTAATGAATGAAGAACATGTTGTAGAAAATGAAGCTGCAAGTAAACATTTAGATGTAATGACAACAGATGATGCACGTCTTGATATTAAATCTCAAGTAAAAGCTTTTGCAAATAGTTTTCATAAAAAATGTTTGAATAAAAATTATCAAATTGATACACTTATACAAGATTATGGATCATTTAAAGATGCATTAAAAAAACGTTTACAAACAAATCCAATATATCGAGGTAAATATTAAAACGAAATTTTCTTAATATATCTATTATCAAAAAGATTTATTTTTTTGTCTTTTTGACTGATTTAGATGAAAATGAAGATTTATTTCTTCGTGTTCGTGATTATCTTGAAAAAATAATTTTTTCACGTGATTATTCATTAATATTTAATCGTATTGCTATTGCATGTGAAGAAAAAGATTTATCAATACAAAATCGAATATCATCACTTCATTGGATAACAGCAACAATGTTAGATACAGTACTTAATGAAAATATAACTATTGCACGTGAAGCTATTTATAAAGCTATTAATGGTATATAAAATATCATTTCATATAATAGAAAACAATTATTTATTACCTTTTTTTTTCTTCTATTTTAAATCAGCTTTAATTGAACTTGATTCTAAAACAACACCACAAGGAAAAATTCATTCAATAATGGAATGTAAAACATGTATTGAAGAAGCAATACGTGCTAGTAGTAGTAGTAGTGGAATAAATGCTGATAGTTTCCTTCCAGCACTTATATTTATTGTATTAAAAGCTAAACCACCACGTTTACATTCAAATATACAATTTTTAAGTCATTTTTCTCAACCAAGTGGTGAACAACTTTATTATTTAGCTAATCTTGTATATTTTTAAAGAAGAAACATAAAAATTTTTATTTTATCTTTTACTTTTAGGATTCAGCTGTTCGTTTTATTGAACTTTTACAAGCTCAACATCTTGGTTTATCATCGGATGATTTTTCTTTATATATGCGTGGTGAACCAGTATTACCATCAAAATTTCATACTTTATTTGATTCTTCATTATCAAATGACTCAAATAATGAACAATTACGAAAAAGATTTATACTTTATCATGAACTTGATCATCATTGTGAAAAATTTGATGAAAATATTCTTGATTTTACTCGACGTTTAACACAAACAGTAACTGATGTACAAGAATTATTAAATGGTACATATGCACGTTATCCAAATTTTGAAAAAATTCCACAATTAATTGATATTGAAAATAATGAACAAGTAGAAGATATATCGAAAAATACAAACAATGAAAAAGATATTATTGATATATTAGATGAATCAACAGCAGAAAATGAACAATTACCGGAACCATTAGCACCTGAAATAGTACAACAACAAACAAACAATGATAATTGATTTATTGAAAATTTGCTTTTTTTTTTTAGTTAAATTAATTTCGATTCCGGTGTTGGTTTTATGTGAACAGTGCTTGTCCATAGATTCTTTTACATTGTTAAATATGCGATAATGACAGAGAATTTCTCGATTTTATCTTCGTTTTTTTACTCTATGTAATAATATATATATATATGATAGAAGAGGAATTCTTTTTTTTCTACTTGGTTTAAAATTATAAATAATTTTTATAATTGAAATACATGATAATTATTGATAGATCAATCAAAACATAGGTTATCTCTACATATAAACAAAGACTATTGGAAGATATTGTCAAATAAATATGAGTAAATGAATATGATTCATACGAATAATAATTAATTTTTAACTATGAAGATCATGACAAGTAACATTTGAATGATGTCGTCGATAGTCGGCGCGATGAATAGATGTCGAAAGATGGAGGACGAATGTGATCATTCGAAAAAGATGTAACCATATCGGAATAATAATAGACAGAGGCAGATTTACCGGATCGAAAAGTTACAAATCACAACTTTTAACATAAAGTTTGGAGGACAGTTGTTTGATGTTTAGACAATTATGTTGTCATCTTTTTTTTATTGAAATATTTTTTTTTTCTATTAGGATTGTGTATGAAAATTGTTGCTGATGTACCATTTCTTTTATCTGAGTTATATTTGTATTCAAAATTATTAAATTCATTCTTCACGGCTGAATCTAATTCAATTTAACACTTAAGAATGATCATGTGAAAAAGCATTTTCTTGAACTTAAAATGCGATTTATATTAAAAGATATTGCTTATTGAAATGTCTTTATTTTCAACAATATAGGGTGATCAGTTTAGTTCGAAAAGGTTTTATATTTAAGCAAGTGTGTATTATTAATGGTCACAAAACTCTATATTATATAATGATGACTATAGCACAACTATGGTGCATTAATTGCTTGTAATAATTAACTTAGAAGTTATAATCAAAACTCATTAAAGTTCAAATCTAGAAAAATATCATAATTCAAAAAGTCGGAAAACGTTCAGAGAAAATGTTAAAATTTAAAAATTTTTCTTAGCAGCCATTCGAAAGATCTGGCAACTATGATAGTAGAGATAAATTATACAAAACAAAAACACAGTTAACACAACCAAAGCACATTTATCCGTTTGTTGTTTCAATCTAAGTAAATCAAACAATTGAAAATTAGTCATTATCAGTAATAATTGTAATGCATGATAATTATTAAGTAGAACTTCATAATAATCAATTAAAATCTGAAAGCAAATACAAATTTAGTTTGAAATCTTTATTTAATCTTATTATTTATGAACTAAAAAATCAAAATTTTCATAGCATGTGATTTTTGTAAATCAACAAGCTAATAGAACTTGAAAATTTTGAAAATCTGATTATGTCATTTAAGATGATTCGTATGGTTGAAGTATACATTAATATCATCATGTTACTTTCTTTTTCTTCCATGTATATAGCCCGCTATCGTAGTATAAATATATATATTCTGCATTCATACTAGCTCAAAATGATGTCAACATTAACAGCGGTAGGTATATATGATGTTTTATGAAATATTCACTCTATCAAAATCATAGATGTACACTAAAATGTCTGTAATATTCAATGCTGCTAATAAACTTTTACGTAGTTATGAAAGTAAAGTACCATTCGGGTAATTTATATTCTATATTTATATTTTTAAAGAAAACAAAACATGAATTTTATCTTTTGTCTTTCATAAAGATTTCGTTGGATAATAAATGTTATCGAATATGTATTTACGTTATTGTTATTTGTTAATCTTATAATTCGTTATGTATGGAATCATACAGTTATTCCAATATTGTCACGTTTTAACATTCCAATGATACAAAAATATCCATCAGTATCATTTCAAAATGATACTGTTCTTATAACTGGAGGTCAGTAAGTTCATTTTGATTTTGCTATCTCAGTGTTTATAGAACATTGTTAATATTAGCTGGTGGTTGTCTTGGTCATGCATTAGCTATTGAATTTGCACGTGAAGCTCGTTGTCTTGCTTTATTAGATATACAAAAGAGACCATTAGATGATCTTAAACATTCAATTCAACAGATCTATGGCAAAGATCATTGTCGTATTTATACTTATCGATGTGATCTTAGGTTTATTCTTGTCTATGCTTAACAAAGAAATAAAAAATCTATCAAATTTTGTATATTTTATAGTGATTTAAATGCACTCAAATATACAATAACAGCAATTCGAGAAGATGTAGGTGATAATATTTCAGTATTGATCAATTGTGCTGGTAAATCTTATTTAAAAATAACAAATCTTTACATAGAAATAATTTTGTTTTCTATATATGTTATAGCTACAGCTCATTTTAAAGATATTATGTCTCATACAGATGATGAATATCAATACACATTAATCGTTAATACACTTGCTCCAATACTCGTATGATTTCTGTTTTCTTTTGATATATTCATTTTATTGAATAGAAATGCTTCTATAATTAACAGATTATTAAAGATTTACTTGGTGGAATGATAGCACGTAATCATGGACATATTGTTAATATTGTTAGTAGTGCAGCATTAAGTGGAAATGCTTTTACTTCATCATATTCATCATCAAAAGCAGCTTTACTCAGTAAAATGTTTCATTAATTTATTCATATTATTGTACTTTGCAAAATTATTTCATAGATTTTACAGAAACACTTAATCAAGAATTAATTCTTGCTAAGGCAACTGGTGTTCGAGCTACAGCTATTTTACCATTTTATCTTGATGGTGGTATCTATACAACATTGCGTAAATAGTAAATATTGTTTGAAATATTTAGTTGTTATAATAGATAAGAAATGAAACAATATTTCTATTTAGTGGTAAAGAAAAAGTTTTAGGTATAACTCCTAAACGTTTTAATGTAGCAGCACATGAGATAATACGAGGACTTAAATCAGGTAATAGTCCAATATTTATACCTTCGTTGCAATTACGTGTAGCTCGTTTCTTACACGCGTAAGCTCGTATAAAATTTCTTTAATAAATTTTTAATATATTTTTTTTTTCATTTATATTATGAAATGTAAAGAATTCTTCCAGATGATATTTGGAATCCGTTACTTTTATATGTTCTTGGTCGTACAACACCAGTTGTCAATCAACATTAAACAAGCGTACTCGTCTATGATAAACATGCATTGTTTTTTTTTCTTTTTTCTCTTTTTACATTGAAAAGTTTTTTTTTTGTTCTTTATTTTTTAACGATTCTATCACAATCTATGATGTACAAATGAGATTTACGACACCTATTTTCTGCATTACTTTCTGCAAATATATTGTCATCCTCTTCGATCACAAGCGCATATTGAAAATATGAAGTGATTCATAAGACTTTTGATTTCACACATAATAAGCTGCATCAGATCAAGGAAAATTTTTTGGACTCACCCAAAGAATTACGAATCACTTCATCATATCTACTTATGTAGCTGATAACGTAATTATAATGCAACCTATGGTAAGGCATTTTAATGCATTATCTTTCACATAATGGAAAAATTTTGAATAATGCATTAAAGAGGTTGCATTATGATTACATTATATTCGGTATTTATGAAAAATAATGCAAAATAATGTATATTATTTTAAATTATCAGCTACGTGGGTAATACTGATGCATTATTCAGCTGTACGTGTTGTCAAAAAAATATTTGTTCTTTGAATCTATGTGCTCATAAATAAAGGATACTCTTTTATGGCCAAACTAGTGAGCTAAATAAAAATCGGGTGCGAACCTTTTTTTTTCAACAAAGTTTTGCTATAAAGGGTTATAGTGTATTTCTGATTACATAGATCGAAAGAGCAAACATTTCTTTAGAAAATAAATGTTCGAATAACAGATCAGTATTCAAGATAATGGCATGGCTTATGATTCTTTGTTCATATTCAGAAAAATTTTCTGAATTCGATGCAACTTTCTACTAATTAATATAAGTTCGAAACAGTTTAAATATAGATAATTTACTAAATTGTTTTTATTGATTTATCATAATTGTAATGATCATGCTGCGACCTCATAGATCATTATAAAATTTGAGCGTAACAATCTGATAATAATGTTTCTCATTAATTCTCTGTATTCTCTCAATCAGAATCCATGTATCTACGCCATGATTGATTGCTTATTTTCGGCTCTGTGTTAGAAATTTTATTCTTATTAAGGAGCTATTGTACCAACTTTACTGACCAAATTTAAATTAAGTTCATTCAATTAACGCTAACACTTTCTTACCCATGGCGTCACTTTTATATAGATACTGCCGGTAAACCGCGGTTAACCGACGGTTCTTTGACAAAATGCGATCTCATAGAAAAAAAATTGATAATGCCCATGTCACAAAAACCGGATCAGTTTTAGCGGTAAACCGCGGTTTACCGGCGGTTCACGATTAAAAAGAACCGGTTAACCGGTAAGGAGCCGGTAAAGTGAGAAAAACCGGCAGTCTACAGTGTTTAACCGGAAAAAAGTAACGGTTTACTGCGATTTATCGGAAAAAAACGCGGTTTTCCATATAGTACGTTCTGAGAGTTTCCTCGAAAACTCCATTAAATGCTAGCGTATGAGATATAGAGATATAGAATAAATAGAGATGTAGGAGATATAGAAGATATAGAGGTATAGAAATATAGGATATATTGATTAACTGGTACAGCTAATCGTTCAATAGTGTTTGAATTTAAACATCTATTCATAAAATATACTGACGCCACTTGGCAACCCTTGCTCGAAAGAATCAATTCCTATACCTCCTATATCTCCTATATCTCATATGCTAGCATTTAATGAAGTTTCCGAGGAAACTCTCTGAACGCATCTAATCGGGTTTTTCCATGTCAAGGAGCCGATAGCCGGACCGGTAAAACCACCTGTTTTTATCCGACTTTCACTACATGGGAAAACAATCAATTTGAGCACAAGCATTATGCAATACTCATCGAGAAACAAAAATTGAATATTTAAGTTTTTCAGATCATTTATTTATTTTCACTATTTTGTATATAGAGACGTAAGCCGAAGGGTCGAACAACGGCGGCGGCTTTAATGATAAATTTTTTTTCTATAGCGGGGACGCCTACTAGACTTTATGTTTTTCTGCACCGGTGGCGACTTTAACAAGCAAAAAAAATGTATTTGCTCTTAAAAGACGAAAAAATGATCGATCACATATGTATCAATGTCAACGGCGGCGGCGCTTTTACTGTTATTAAAAATTTTCGTTCGTGGCGGCGGCGCAGTGACGGATGACGGAACATACTTTTTTACAGCGACGGCTGATTTTTCAAAAAAATCGGCGGCGGCCGCGGCTCAGCTGTACGGCTTACATCTCTATTTGTATATAGATAATTTTTCTTGTTTGATTACTTATTTCAATCGTTTCGTTGAAAACAAAATGTGTAAGTAATTGTTATTTCTTTTTTGTAATAAAATTTTTCTATGTATAAATTAGATTCACCATGGACAACATCAATGCCTTGTTTATTTTCAAATAATACTAATATTAATTGTAGAAATCATCAACAAGAACAACAATTTAATTCATCATATAATAGTAATGATTGTTTAATAAGTTCATTGAATAATCTCGATTTATCAAATCCATTTAATATGGTTGCAACAAAATCACCAGTATCATCAGTTTGGTCATTGAATAATCTTAATTATTATCATTATCAAATAAATGAACAACAACAACAACAACACAAACATGAATTAAAAAATAATTATTTTGAACCATTACCATTTATTGATGCAGAAAATCAATTAAAACAAAATAATTATCCACAATTATCTCAAAAACACGCTATTATAAAACAAAGTATCATATTTAATAGAATATTCTTGTCAAAAAATTTTTTTTGCAATTTAGTGATCGCTCGAAAAACTAAACAACAACAAGATAATCATCATCGCTCCCATTACAACAGTTGCGATAACATATTTTCTTCAACATCTGATCGAAAAAAACGACATATTTGCAGTTTTTGTAAAACAAATGGTGAATCAGCTAGTGTTTATACTTCACATGGTAAATTCAAAAAAAATTTTTTTATGAAAAAGCATATAATCTTTCTCTTATAGTTTTACGTAATATTGATAATGAAATTGAATGTCCTATTCTTATGGCATATGTTTGTCCAAAATGTGGTGCCACTGGTAAATCAGCTCATACAATAAAATATTGTACAGCTTTATCTGAAGGTGAACGTGTTGCATTGCCAACGGTTAAATTATTTAAAGAAGGTCGATCTTCTTCAGGAAATATGAATTTATTCAAAAAATAATATTCAATTGCATTGTGTATATATTCATCAAAATTAATTGTTGTCTTATTATATTTGTTTTTTTTTTCTTTAAAAGTTAGTTTTATTTTTCAAATTTATGTAATGTAAAAGAATCCATAAGCATAAATGTTGTTTTTTGTTCTAAAAGAAAAGAAAAGAATGATTCATATGTTTATATATATAGATATATAAATATGTATATGAAAGAATAAACAAATAGAAAAAAAAAACAAAAAGTATCTTAAACAGGGTCCACAGAAGTGAACCAAAGTCTATAGGCTCACTTCTTATCGAAGTTATAAGCCAATCAGATGAAAAATTCATATTTTACAACCATCCAAAATATTTTTTTCTTTTTTCAACTTGATAGAGATAGGATAGTATAACACGTAATGTATAACGTAAACACAATTTATCCTCTTTTTATTTTTCTTTCGGACGAAAATCTTGAAATAACTTTTATTTATTTATTAAAGTAGTACTATCGAAGGAGAGCGATCAAAGAGACTAAGTATAACTCGGTAATATTCGAATATTATCGACGACAATAATATGTTTCTATTTCCAATTTACACGGTATCTCTTCGTATTTGATATTCTGTTTTTTTTCTTTTTAAAATATAAAAATAAATTATTCACAACGACAAAAAAAATTCTAAGTATTAAATCAGTGATGATACTAATTTCGGCCGATTGTATTCTCGCTGGATCTTAGAATAATTTTCAAACAACAATTATGTCGTAAGAAATTATAAAGCTGCATAGCCATATTTCATGCTCGTTTTGCAAAATTATCATCATTACTGGATTTGAATTTATTAGTTAATATGAACAAAAAAAAATCATTTTGTATCTGATTTTGAATTGCCCGGAAAAATATAACCAATTTTCCTATGCTACTAACATTAAATCTAAAAAATAGCTGCAAGACTTTCGGGAGAACACACTTATTATGTCATTGATTTGCCTATGACAAAGTGTTGATTAGAATGTGTTTCTATGTTTAAATCGGAAATTAGTTGGTAATAACGGATTGTTCAGGAACGATGGACTTTCTATATTTTAATTATATGTGTTTTAATACTTGCGGATTGAGACTCGATTTGTTCAAAAGCGTTATTTTTTATTTTTTTACAAAATAGAATAGTTTTTATTAATGTAAATGAAATTCATTATTTTTCCGGAGAGGCTGCAAAAGAAAGTCGGAGATACAAAATTTCTAAAATAACATTTTTCTAAACAGTTCTTTTTAACCGGATATTTCAATTGTATACAAAGAGTATCTATCGGTGTAACCTTTTGCCAATGGATAGAAGTAAAAAGTTTCTCCAAGTTTAAATAGTTCAAGGCTAAAATATGAGGGTCTGAGTATGGCTGTGCGCATCGGTGGCGGTGCGAAACCTTATCGGCGGGGCGGGACGGAGCGGTGGCAGCGTGACTTTTTGACTGCCCCGTCCATCTCTGATACGGATATATTTTTTTACAGTGAAATGAGTAGTAAAAATTAACGAACATACTTCACGAATTTACTATAATTGCTTCACTTGTATTCTTTTTGCAAGGTGGCCATATACCGATTCGACTTGATGTGCTTCTCTCCGTCTTGGTACCGGACATGTTGGCCATGGTACAAGAGTTTTCAACTGCTTTGTATTCTTTTACTAACACATCCGTCGAAGAAAACAATATCACGAATAATTTTACTATTTCTAAAGAAAAACAATTAAAACCAATAGAAGAATGTTGGAGAAAATCAAGAAATAAAAGAAACTCTGGACGTTATACCAAACAACCAGATGAATTTATTATTACAGAATTAATGTCATCACTTATTGCGCCAACAAATGATATTGAGAGCCCCCCTCAGAAATTTCATTTTTTGGTAAAATAATCGAAGTCGAGTTTTTATCATAGGAAGATGCAGCGAAGTTTCCTCTTTCAGAATATATATAAGTTTTTAAAAAAAGGTCAAATTTTTACAGATTTTCGTAGGAGATTTTCACCTCACTACTCGGTTTTCGGAGAGATTTTCGCAGTTTTTGTAATTTTTGGGAAGACTACTTTTTTACATCTATCAGCATGGAATAAACATTCTTATATCATATAGTACAGCCTGTAGTGCTAGCTTACGCCATCTATTGCGTGCTTTCAAAAATTCCATATAAATATTATCAATATACCATTATTTTCTGCATTTGAATGAAAAATCCATTTCTAAAACTTCTTTAGCGTTTTTCTCAGAACATGGTTTCCGATTAGAAAAATTGAAATAACTTTCACCCAGTTCAAGATATACCCAATATTTTTTTTTTGTTTTGAAGGTCTCAATAAGGGTAAACTTTTGTCTGAACAGATTTTTTATAATTGATTCCTGGTTTGAGAAAAGTGGAATTTATTATCGCTGGATCACCGTTTTTCGTGCTGATTTTAAGACATGTCTACTGAAATGTTCATAAAAAATGAACAATATAGAATTTAAAAATTCTGTTCAGACAAAAGTTGTGTACTGACATTAGCTTTAATTTGAGACCACCCCGAGCTCTATACCTCGTGTTACAGTGGAGTTATATCCATTCTCCTGAAGGCCTATGAATCAGCTGGCAATCCGGCCCAGTACAATCGATCGAGCTGAAATTTTTACCAGAAGCGTATCTCATCAGGATTACTCATCCCTGAAAATTTCAGCCCAAACGGACCATTCTAAGTGGCAAATCGTTTCTGAGGGGGGTGGGGGTGGGGGGCTTAAGTAGACTTCTCTTCTGACAGAAAAACACTATGAATTTACCGTGATCATCTGGATAAAGTCAATTGTAAGCATCAGTGGAACATTGAAAAGGCGTTATTTTCATGTCATTCAATCTCATATCGGAGAAAAACAAATCAGTAAATCATTTTAATACTTCGCACGGCTGCCTTTCTCTTCTTTTCATTGTCTACAAGAAAAGAAATCTGTGATGTTCTTCCAAATTCCTACTAAATCTCCGAATATGATATCATCTCTTCACATTTTTCTTATGACTATTCTAAACAATGAACATGCATCGGTGAGTATATTGCATAAGAGAAGACAGATGAATAATTTCAAAGACTTTTTTCGCACAATCCACAATGTTTTTCGATTGTCTCGAGGTATTCGATTTCAAAACAGAAGCAGTTTCTGAAAGAATTTTTTAATCGAATGAAATTCATTTCGAATTGAAGATCGCGCGATTCTGTTTTTTAGTGGCTTTTAAAGAGAAAGTTGAGTTTAACTAAATGGATTTGTTATTCAATACAGATCAGAGCCGGAAAAGAGGAAATTTTTGACTTGCTCACTCCTTCTCGTGAAAAGCTTTTCTCGTCTCATCCCACCCCGAGCAATAGAGTTCCCGGACCGGGCTCCATCCCGTTCCGACCTCTGATGCAGATCAACTAGATTTCTCAAGATTTTTCTCTCGAGTTGATAACGTGTTTTTTATTCCATTTCCGAATAGAACTCAACAATCAATGATGTTCAAAGCCTGTTTTGTGATGAATATTTTCTTTGGCATTATGTTTATTTGTATTTATTGTCAAATCAAATTATTTCATATCAAGAACATCAGTACATTGTTGCTCTAATATTTGAAAATGTGAAGCATTCATTGAGGGCTTCAAATTCATCAATGACAGTTGCTTCTATTCTGAAGAAAAAGAGGAGTCATACTTTTATAGTCGAAAATAGAAGATTGAATGAAAAACACCAGCCATCTTTAGCTATCGAGAGTTGTTTCACTATTCCGTAGTATTTCTCTCTGAAAAATGAACTTTATACAAGTAATGCTTGATGCTCGGTGTTTCAACTCAATAGAATTTCATAATGAAAGTCTATAACGGGAGAAGTTCTACGATGAAATGCAAGTTGAAGGACTCAAGAGTTCAGCTTGCTCATCCGAGAAAATGCGATGAAGAAAATCTCTTTCAATTCTTGTCGTTTCAACTATTAGAACACATTATTTACCTTCCACTGCAAGATGAATTTTACTGATGAAAGAGGTTGAATATTGTTCAACTTTGAAATATGGTGGTTTGTTGAGCGTCTCTTTTAATCTTTCAAGTTTTTCATTGAAAAACTGAATGTCTGGGTCAGAAAAATCTTCCTGTTTACGACATTGAGTGATTTGTTCGTTCAATTGTTTTAATTTTACATTCATGTCGGTGACGAACCTGCTCATACACCATGAGAGTTCTCGACGAGCTTTATTTGCCGTTTGTCGAATCTTTTCGATTGATTCGAGTTCCCACTCATCAATTTGTTTCATTAATCCATGTTTTTGTGGATCAGCTTTTTGTCCATCAATTTCAATATTGAACTCGTTAAATTGATCTTCAATTGTGCCTAACTGTTCGCTCAATTCATTATGATGTTCATTCATATGATTGAGGCAAAAATCTTGAGAACATCCACCACATTTCACTGTATGTTTTGTTTTTTTGCATTTAACGCAAGAATTTTTCAAAATCGTCGATGCCATGTGTATGTCTACTTTGAAAAGAGAAAGAAATTAAATAAAAGAGGAATGAGAATATGTGATAGCATCACATGCTAACTTCGTTCTTTGTTTTGTCAACAAAATGGTAATAGCATTAAGATGTTTCATTATGGATCCGGATTTTATCATCAGAAAATTCGCAACCAATCGGAATCGAAGTTTCATAGCTATCCATCGAAAAGAGGGAATTAGTTTGTTAGTTGAATTCCAATTCTTGGATCCTAATTCAAACCAAAAGAACCCTATTTTGGCATGTTCTCATCTTTCGTCACTACATGACAAACCTATTCATTGGGTGTGGGTGTGGGGTGGTGGTGGGGGTGGGTGTAAGTGTGAATGAGAACACTATTGACACTCACCCACACCCAACCCCACCCCACACCCACACCCTCCTGAATCTGCAAGAATTTTCAGTATGTCTTGATAAATATATAGAACACTCGTTTACCTAGGCAACGCTAAAAACTGTAGCTCTCTATTCCTTTTTGTTCTTGAGTTATTCAAAAAATAGACACGTACACAGTCTTTTTGGATGGACTATAGTGAAGAATTAGTTGATTCTGTATCGAACTTTTCCTCGCATATTTCCTGGTGCTGTTATTTCGAAAAAAAAGTTTATCGAGAGCAATAGAATTCATCTTCTATGCAGATTCTTTTTCAAAAGATCGACATGATCTTCGTATTTATAACAGACGGAAACGTGTACCAAGGACTGCATCAATTTATGATTTGTACTCTATGCCATTTTTTCGCTCGGATACCAAATGCAAGTAGAAGAGAGAACCAGACAGGACTGAGAAAAATGAGAGAAGAGGAATAAAATAGATGCGACTTTAGATATGAAGAAATTCGGTAGACTTTGTTTTTCTAATCCACTTGCTAATCAAGATTACGCAATAAATTGTCATGTTTGATGCAATATGCAATGATGATAAATTCTTCTAAGATGTTGATTCGCAGAATATAGCTTTAAATAAAATGTTATCGCTGACAAGATCTATGAGTCTCATGTGTTTCCTAGCAAACAAATAAATACTTTTTGTTTTGAATGAAAAGGGTAAATAGGAATGTTATTTTCAAAAAAAATCATCAGATGAATAGAAAAACACCTTGTTTCGTAGATAGAGACAGCAAATACAAAAGACGGATAATAAAGAATGATACTATTTATCTGTCGCTGTTATATTATTGAGTATTCATTACTTTTTCTTGATCTGTTCTAAAAAATTTGCTTCACAGTTCTTCGAGAAATGGCATCCTTGATTCCACTAGCGAGCTATCATGGCCGATTTCGTCTTTCGCTTCACAAGACCCCTCGGATGGCTTGATTCCGGTTATCCTAAAGTTAGGATAGAATCTGTTAGCGTCCATGGATGTTACGACATGACGCTAACTTCTCATATATGTATTTGTTTCTTTTCATTCCTGCAATATATATATCTATCGTTCTATTGATCATCATGTTCTTATGGTGGTCATCTTTTTTCATCCTTCCTTTTTCGTTCTACTATATTCTTTCATTTTCCTATCTCGTTCTAATTTGCTTCTCTTCTTTCTCTCTTTTTTTTCTTGGTCGTAGTT